AACTTTCCTTTGTCCAATGTACCATTCATTGAAATTATATATGTTTTGAGCAAGACCAATTACAATGGGTCAGTTACTTACATAATGGGGCAAATTAAAAATATACTTTTGCCAGGTACCAATGGCTCTTGCCTGTAGCTCCTCAGGAGGCTGAGGTCTTAGGATCACAGTTCAAAGCCAGCTCAGGCAGGAAAGGTCATGAGAGTCTTATCTCCAGTTAAACACCAGAAAACCAGAAGTAGACTCGTGGCTCAAAGTAGAGCACTAACCTTAAGCAAAAGAGCTCAGAGACAGCAGCCAGGCCCTGAGTTCAAGCCCCATGACCAACAACAACAAAAAAGTACTACTGAAATTTACTAGAGTGGGATTATTATTCTGATAATCAATTATAAGATTATGGAACTCTTAAGTCAAAACTGTTATTTTATTTGTTTGTTTGGGCACTGTCCTTGAGCCACAGCACCACTTCTGGCTCTTTCTGTTTATATGGTAGTGAGGAATCGAACCCTGGGCTTCATGCATGCTCTCTACCACATTCACAGCCCCAAAACTTATTTATAAATGATAGAAATCTAACTAAAGCTGGTTTAGAGAGAAAATAGGGTTTTTGATAATTTATGTAACAAAACTGTATGGAGAAAATAACTAGCATAGGAACTAGCCTGCAAAGACATTTTTTCCTTGCATCTCAGACCTACTTTTTTCTTCTGGAAAAGTCAGATTTAGTCCTTCTGATCACTTTTCTCCACCAGCCTGTAAAAACTCCTAGCAAGACCTAACTGTTGTCTTCTCATTTTACCTTCATACTTTCATCCTAGAGCTGAAACAGCTCTAGTGTAGAAAATGATGAGAAAGAACTGTTGATTGAGGGCTGGGAAGGTGGCTCAGTGGTAGAGCGCTTGCCTTGCATGCCTGAGGCCCTGGGTTTGATTCCTCAGCACCACATAAGCAAGAAGAAAAAAGCCAGAAGTGGCACTGTGGCTCGAGTAGTAGAATGCTAGCCTTGAGCTGAAGAGCTGAGGGACAGTGTCCAGGCCCAGAGTTCAGGCCCCACGACTGGACCCCCCCCCCAAAAAATTATCAAAACAAAGAACTGTTGATTGAGTTTGGGCCATCAGCCATTTTTTTTTGTTGTTGTTGTTGGTGTGAACTTAGGAATGGGCACTGTCTCTGACCCTCTTTGTGCTCAAGGCTAGCACTTTTTTCCCTGAGTAGTTTGTTGTAGATAAGAGTCTCATGGGGACTTCTGCCTGGGCTGTCTTCGAACCCTGATCCTCATGTCTCAGCCTCCTGAGTAGTTAGGATTACAGGTGTGAGCCACTGGCTCTTGTCCTGGCAACTGTTTTTTTTGAAGTGTTTGAACCCAGGGTCTTACACATGCTCTACTACTGAGCTGACTCCTCAGCACAGACGTCAATCAGTCTTAGATGGGTTACTGTGGACTGAAGACAAGGTCATAAAAGGGCATGGTTCTTAGTGTGAACAGGAAAAGTGTGTGTGTGTGTGTGTGTGTGTGTGTACTTAGGGTAGTGTGTGTGTGTGTGTGTGTGTGTGTACTTAGGGTAGTGTGTGTGTGTGTGTGTGTGTGTGAACTTAGGGTATAGGCGCTGTCCCTGTACATTTTTGTTCAAGGGAAACACTCTACTAATAACATTGTAATAAATATTCCTAATGAAATCATTATCTTTTCTGAACCTCCAAAATTATTTCCTTGAGAATTTTAAGCATTTAAATTTAGTACTAGGAAACATTTCACTATTTGTTGTTGGAAAAATTATACTAAGATAGTTCCTGACCCTAGTTTAGGGTTTATAAAGCACCAACAATTAGGTTCAATATATGTTACAATGAGAGGCTGAACTGTAGTATTATTATAATAATGTTATTTGTTTCTTTCTTTCTTTATTTATGTTTGTGGGTTGTAGGGCCTGAACTCTGTCCCTCAGCTCTTCAGCTCAAGGCTAGCATTCTACGACTTGAGCCACAGCGCCACTCTGGCTTTTTTCTGCTTATGTTATGTTGAGGAATCAAACCCAGGGCCTCATGCTTGCAAGGCAAGCGCTCTACCACTGAGCCACCTTCCCAGCCCCAACCCTAGCTTTTTAAGAGGTTGAGATCTGAGGATTGCATTTAGAAGCTAGCCAGGGCAAGAAAGTACAACATATTCTTATCTCCAACTAACAACCAAAAAGCAAAAAACAGAGATGTTTCTCAAGTGGTAGAGTGCTAGCCTTGGGCAAAAGAAGCCCCCAAGCTTTGAGTTCAAGCCCCTGGACTAACACAAAAAGAAAAGAAAGGGGGAAAAAAAGCAGAATAGCATAGATAGGAACATTTCTGAGAATTTAGAATGTAATTGTAACATTTTAATGATGACTACAAACCTCAAAGCCATAAAAATTTTATGAATAAAAACTGCATTAAAATTTAAACATCTAAATAGCCTTATTATATATATTGGCTGTACTCGGCCCTAAACTCAGCATCTTGTGTTTGCTGAGCAGACACTACCAGTTGAGCCAAATCTGCAGCCATAATGTGTATGTGTATCTATGTGTTGACAAAAATAGTATCTATTGTATATGTTTTAATTTTTAACAAATGTTAATATGTATCAATGTTTAAATTTATTGTATATGTTAAAATATGTTACCTTTGTTACTATTTTCTCTTTTCTTCTCTCAGGACAACTGTATAGAAAAAATGATATTAGGTTTTATTTAACTGACTTGATGAATTATAACTTTTTTTGGTGAATTATATAACATAACTTTGTGAATTATAACTTCATCATCCATGTACACCACATGTTAGGGTGATCATTGTGACTAGTCTGTAAATTAGTAGGGTAATCTGTTAACTTAGTCTATGCAAACACTGATAACTTTGAGCAACTTAGGAATTCTGAAACTTTGATGTGTCTTTGCATGTTCTCTTCTACCTCTGGTTCTAATGCTGTTTCTTTTTTATTTTCTTTACTTAGTTTAATAACATGTTTAATAAGCTACTGGGTAATGATGAAGAAACCTAGCCCTGTCTATTCATTTGGGTAAGTTAAAATTAGTTTGTTTTCAGCTAACTTATGATTGTTAAAATAATAGTGTGGGGGCTGGGAATGTGGCTTAGTGGTAGAGTGCTTGCCTAGCATACATGAAGCCCTGGGTTCGATTCCTCAGTACCACATAAACAGAAAAAGCTAGAAGTGGCACTGAGGCTCAAGTGGTAGAGTGCTAGCCTTGAGCAAAAAGAAGCTCGGGGACAGTGCCCAGTACCTGAGTTCAAGCCCAGGAGTGGCACCAAAAATAAATAAGTAAATAAATGCAATAATAACTATAATAGTGTGGCTGGGCACTAGGATGCCTCTGGCCTATAACCCAGCTCCTTGGGAGGCTGAGATCTAAACATTCTAAAACAGTCTGGGCAAGCTGGGCGCCGGTGGCTCACGCCTATAATCTAGCTACTCAGGAGGCTGAGATCTGAGGACCACAGTTCAAAGCCAGCCTGGGCAGGAAAGTCCGTGAGACTCTTATCTCCAATAAACCACTAGAAAACCGGATGTGGCCCTGTGGCTCAAGCGGTAGAGCGCTCGCCTTGAGCTGAAGAGTGCAGGGACAGCGCCCAAGCCCAGAGTTCAAGCACCATGACTGAAAAAAAAAAAAAAGTCTAGGCAAGAAAGTCTGAGAGACTCTTATCTCCAATAAACTGAAAACAAACAGACTTACACCTGCAATCCTAGCTACTTAGGAGACTGAGAACTGAGGACTGTGGTTCAAGGCCAGCCTGAGCAGGAAAGTCTGTGAGACCCTTATCTTCAACTAACTACAAAGAAAGCTGTAAGAAGAACTGTTGCTCAAGTGGCAGAGTGTTAACCCTGAGCAAAAAAAGCTCAGGGACTAAGCTTGCTCTGGTGGCTCATGCCTGTAATCCCAGCTATTCAAAGCTGAGATCTGAGAGTCACGGTTCAAAGCCAGCCTGGCAAGAAAGTCTGTGAGACTCTTATCTCCAATAAACCCCCAGAAAAATGGAAGTGACGCTGTGGCTCAAGTGGTAGTGCGCTAGCCTTGAGCTGAAGAACTGAGGAACAGTGCCCAGATCCAGAGTTCAAGCCTCGCAACCAACCAAAAAAAAAAAGCTCAGGGACAGTGTATAGGCCCTGAGTTCAAGCCTCAGGACTGGCAATAATAATAATAATAGCGCAGTAAAAAGCTAGCTATAGTATTTTTTGGAAAAATAGAAATGGTAAACCAGTGGGGCTGGGAAGGTGGCTCAGTGGTAGAGCGCTTGCCTTGCATGCATGGTGGCTCAGTGGTAGAGCGCTTGCCTTGCATGCATGAGGCCCTGAGTTTGATTCCTCAGCACCACCTAAGCAAAAAGAAAAAAGCCGGAAGTGGCACTGTGGCTCAAGTGGTAGAGCGCTAGCTTTGAGCTGAAATGCTGAGGGACAGCGCCCAGGCCCAGAGTTCAGGCCCCTGGAACGGACCAAAAAAAAAAAAAAGAAAGAAAAATGGTAAACCAGGCACCAGTGGCTCACGCCTATAATCCTAGCTACACAGGAGGCTAAGATCTGAGGATCAGGGTTCAAAGCCAGCCTGGGCAGAAAAGTCTGTGAGACTCCTATCTCCACTAAATCATTCAGAAAAATGGAAGTGGCGCTATGGCTCAAGTGGTAGAGTGCTAGCCTTGAGCTGAAGAGCTGAGGGACAGCGCCCACGCCCAGAGTTCAAGTCCTACAACCAACAATTAAAAAAAAAGAAGAAATGCACTTGCCTAGCACAACCATCCTGATGCTTAACTCTCATTTACTCAGGCCTTTATCTTGGGGCTGGGAAGATGACTCAACGGTAGAGTGCTTGCCTTGCATGCATGAGGCCCTGGGTTCGATTCCTCAGCACCACATAAGCAGAAAAAGCCAAAGTGGCGCTGTGGCTCAAATGGTAGAGCTCTAGCCTTGACCTGAACAGCTGAGGAGCAGCACCCAGGCCCAGAGTTCAGGCCCCATTCTGCCCTCTTAGGGACCTGTTGATCAAATAGTGATAGGTAGTAAAACATCTTCCAGGGTGAGGCAAGGCTCAAGGGATAGCTTACCCTCTTACCTGAAAACATTCAGGAGGAATCTAGAAAAGAAATGTAAATGTTGGAAATATAAGTCATATTAAAATGTTTTCATTCCATTTTTTATATTTTATGAAAGAAATGTTAGTATAAAACAAACATAGTAAGTTCTTTGATTTTATTTTTGGTGTCAGGCTTGGGGTTTGAACCCAGAAACTGAGAATTGTCCCTGAGCTCTTCTGCTCAAAGTTAGTACAATGCCACTTGAGCCACAGCTCCACTTTCAGCTTTTTGCTGGTTAATTGGACATAAGAGTCTCAGAGACATCCTGCCCAGTCTGGTTTCAAGCCATGATCCTCAGATCTCAAACTCATGAATAGTTATGATTATAAGTGTGAGTCACTGTCAGCTTGCAGTTGGTTAGTATTTTTAAAATCTTGTTTTTTGGGGCTGGGAAGGTGGCTCAGTGGTAGAGCGCTTGCCTTGCATGCATGAGGCCCTGGGTTCCATTCCTCAGCACCACATAAGAAAAAAGCCAGAAGTGGCGCTTTGGCTCAAGTGGTAGAGCGCTAGCCTTGAGCTGAAGAGCTGAGGGACAGTGCCCAGGCCCAGAGTTCAGGCCCCACAACCAGACCAAAAAAAAAAAATAAAATCTTATTTTTCTTAGAGAAAGTATGAAGGAGGTTAATGGAAGTAGTTTATAGATGCTAAAGTAAATGATAGATTTTAATTTTATGCATTGATGAAGATGGATTTTTATCTTAAAACTGGATTTAACAATGCATTGCCAAAGAATTGGAGGATTTGTTTCTGTTTAGTTGGAAGATATTCTTTTATACTAGAGGATTTTTTTTTTTTTTTTTGCCCGTTCTGGGGCTTGAACTGTTCTGGGGCTTGGGCACTATCCCTGAGCTTTTTTTGCTCAGGATTAGCACTCTGCCATTTGAGCCATGGTGTCACTTCTGGCTTTTTCTGTATATATGGGTACTAAAGAATAGAATCTAGAGCTTCATGAATGCTAGGCAAGCACTCTACTACTAAGCCACATTCCCAGCCCTAAAGGATGTTTTGTTTTGTACTGTTTTGCCAGTTCTGGGACTTGAACTCAGGGCCTAGGCATTGTCCCTGAGCCTCTTTGCACTCAAGGCTAACATTCTACCGACTGAGCTACAGCACCACTTCTGTTTTTTTCCGAGTAGTTCATTGGAAGATAAGAATCTCACAGGACTTTCCTGCCCAGGCTGGCTTTGAACCTCGATCCTCAGACCTCAGCCTCATGAGTAGCTATAGTGTATTAGGAAAAAAAAAAATAAGAGTTCCTTCAGATTCAAGGAAACACCTAGAATGAAGAACTAATAATTTTCAAGTCATGTGTGGTGACACATGCTTGTAATTTAGGAGGCTGAGGCAGGAGTTTATGGCTAGCTTGGATAATATAATAAAATCCTGTCTTAAGAGGAAAAGAAAGAAATAAGAAGGAACAAGGAAGAGGGAATAAGACACGGGCACAAGAACACTCGTGGATCAAACTTTTCTTTGTCCAATGTACCATTCATTGAAATTATATATGTTTTGAGCAAGACCAATTACAATGGGTCAGTTACTTACATAATGGGGCAAATTAAAAATATACTTTTGCCAGGTACCAATGGCTCTTGCCTGTAGCTCCTCAGGAGGCTGAGGTCTTAGGATCACAGTTCAAAGCCAGCTCAGGCAGGAAAGGTCATGAGAGTCTTATCTCCAGTTAAACACCAGAAAACCAGAAGTAGACTCGTGGCTCAAAGTAGAGCACTAACCTTAAGCAAAAGAGCTCAGAGACAGCAGCCAGGCCCTGAGTTCAAGCCCCATGACCAACAACAACAAAAAAGTACTACTGAAATTTACTAGAGTGGGATTATTATTCTGATAATCAATTATAAGATTATGGAACTCTTAAGTCAAAACTGTTATTTTATTTGTTTGTTTGGGCACTGTCCTTGAGCCACAGCACCACTTCTGGCTCTTTCTGTTTATATGGTAGTGAGGAATCGAACCCTGGGCTTCATGCATGCTCTCTACCACATTCACAGCCCCAAAACTTATTTATAAATGATAGAAATCTAACTAAAGCTGGTTTAGAGAGAAAATAGGGTTTTTGATAATTTATGTAACAAAACTGTATGGAGAAAATAACTAGCATAGGAACTAGCCTGCAAAGACATTTTTTCCTTGCATCTCAGACCTACTTTTTTCTTCTGGAAAAGTCAGATTTAGTCCTTCTGATCACTTTTCTCCACCAGCCTGTAAAAACTCCTAGCAAGACCTAACTGTTGTCTTCTCATTTTACCTTCATACTTTCATCCTAGAGCTGAAACAGCTCTAGTGTAGAAAATGATGAGAAAGAACTGTTGATTGAGGGCTGGGAAGGTGGCTCAGTGGTAGAGCGCTTGCCTTGCATGCCTGAGGCCCTGGGTTTGATTCCTCAGCACCACATAAGCAAGAAGAAAAAAGCCAGAAGTGGCACTGTGGCTCGAGTAGTAGAATGCTAGCCTTGAGCTGAAGAGCTGAGGGACAGTGTCCAGGCCCAGAGTTCAGGCCCCACGACTGGACCCCCCCCCCAAAAAATTATCAAAACAAAGAACTGTTGATTGAGTTTGGGCCATCAGCCATTTTTTTTTGTTGTTGTTGTTGGTGTGAACTTAGGAATGGGCACTGTCTCTGACCCTCTTTGTGCTCAAGGCTAGCACTTTTTTCCCTGAGTAGTTTGTTGTAGATAAGAGTCTCATGGGGACTTCTGCCTGGGCTGTCTTCGAACCCTGATCCTCATGTCTCAGCCTCCTGAGTAGTTAGGATTACAGGTGTGAGCCACTGGCTCTTGTCCTGGCAACTGTTTTTTTTGAAGTGTTTGAACCCAGGGTCTTACACATGCTCTACTACTGAGCTGACTCCTCAGCACAGACGTCAATCAGTCTTAGATGGGTTACTGTGGACTGAAGACAAGGTCATAAAAGGGCATGGTTCTTAGTGTGAACAGGAAAAGTGTGTGTGTGTGTGTGTGTGTGTGTGTACTTAGGGTAGTGTGTGTGTGTGTGTGTGTGTGTGTACTTAGGGTAGTGTGTGTGTGTGTGTGTGTGTGTGAACTTAGGGTATAGGCGCTGTCCCTGTACATTTTTGTTCAAGGGAAACACTCTACTAATAACATTGTAATAAATATTCCTAATGAAATCATTATCTTTTCTGAACCTCCAAAATTATTTCCTTGAGAATTTTAAGCATTTAAATTTAGTACTAGGAAACATTTCACTATTTGTTGTTGGAAAAATTATACTAAGATAGTTCCTGACCCTAGTTTAGGGTTTATAAAGCACCAACAATTAGGTTCAATATATGTTACAATGAGAGGCTGAACTGTAGTATTATTATAATAATGTTATTTGTTTCTTTCTTT